AGATCCCGAACCAACCGAGCAGACGACAACTCAAACTCTGCTACCGACTGCATACGCTGAAGCTTTCAATCCAGTCAATCCTGAAGTACGGTATACGGCCTTAATATTGTTCGACAGGGCAGCGACAACACTTACGTCACTACAGAATTGGCACAAAAACTCAGCCTGCCAACTGTCGATAGAAAATCAGTCACAATCAACGGATTCGGAGAAACCACGATTCAGAATGCTCAAACTGATATCGTCGAAGTTCAATTATCCAGAGACAGCGAACCGATCACAATTTGTGCACTCGTCGTTCCAAAACTCACTCATCGATTACTTACCGTTGCGATACCGTCAGAACTACTCGCGCAAAGAAACACCATTCCGCTTCGGATGCAGTCAGCACCAGCCTCAGTTTTGATCGGTGTAGACCAGATGAACAACGTGATGAACCTATCATCTGCGAAGAAACTGCCGTCCGGCTTCACCCTCCTGGAATCTCGTTTGGGAATGGTATTAAGCGGCAGAGGCGAAACTACCCTACTCAACAATCAACCAGTTATCGACTCACTCACAGTGATGACCTCAACCTCACAAGATCCAGTAGAACAATTCTGTAAACTGGAACTCATTGGTATTACCGAAAATCCTACGATAACTGACGACGATGTTGCCATACAGAAATTTCGACAAAGCATCAAATTCAACGATGGTAGATACTACGTTCGCTGGCCATGGAAAGAAGGTAGACAATTCTCCAACAACTATCCACTATGCTATCGACGACTTTGCTCGACTATTCGTAGTTTGCAACAAAAGGAAGAACTTCTGTAGAAATGCAAAGAAGTGCTACAAGAGCAGTTGGATTCTGGCATCATCGAAGACGTCACAGAACAAGAAGAACAACAACGTTCCTACTACATGCCAATACAAACGGTCATCAAGCCAACAAGTACCACCACGAAAATTCGCCTTGTTTTCGACGCCTCAAGCAAAATGCGTCAAGGCGGAAGTAGTCTGAATGAAGCCATACTTCGCGGACCAATCTATCTACCAGATCTCTCAGGTATTCTCTTGCGTTTCCGAACGGCTAAGATTGTGATCATTGCAGATATCGAGAAGGCTTTCCTGCAAATAGGTCTACACACAATAGATCGTGATTCAACTCGATTTCTGTGGCTCAAAAATCCACACCAAGCGCCGTCTCCAAAGAACCTGAGAATTTTTCGATTCACGAGAATCCCCTTCGGTGTGATGGCGTCGCCATTCCTACTAGCAGCAGCAGTACGATATCATTTGGAAAGGAACGCGACACTACCCATCACGAGAGAATTGATCGACAACACATACGTTGACAATATCATGCTGACAGCGGACACCACAAACCAAGCAATCGAAAGCTGCGACGCCGCAAAGAACCTGTTTGCTGAAGCCGCTATGAATCTTCGCGAATTCAACTCCAACGATGATGAACTTCGCAATCATTGGCAACCAAATGCACGACAACAAACGCTCATAACCAAAATCTTGGGAATTCCATGGAACGTCCAGTCCGACACAATCCGATTCACGTTCAAGAAATACATCGAAACCCAAACGACAAAACGGTCAGTTTTATCTTACAACTAGATCGCAAGCGTGTTTGATCCATTAGGATATCTGACACCCGCAACTTT